AGAAGTTGGAGCCACAAGTTGTTTTCCGCTCGTACGTGTAGGCTTGCAAGCCTAAATCATATACCCGTCCTTTCTACATTCCATCTACCGCTTGGGACCAAGTACGATAATCAAAATAATCTATTGATCCCCAAGAAGACTCCTCACCTGCTCTAGCCTGGCTCTCTCAAAGTCTTTTATACTCTTCATATAAAATTTAACATAAGATTAATCAATTTATATATGAAATTAAAATTTTAAACTTTTATACCCATGTAGGCTTTCCTTCCTAGCTCATCAACCCGTTATTGGTCCTCTTGCCGCTTGTGGGTATGACTATATATAACTTAACAATGGTTAGATATCTACCCAACAACTCTCTCTGCAACACACTTACATTAATATTCATAACTAAATAAATTATTAAAATTTTTCACCAAACGTCGCATGTGCTCAGTATGTGGAACTGAGCCCCCAATATAGAAGGAATTATGCATGCCCCCAATATTAGAAGCTTAGCTTTGTCTATTATGGTCCATCCTCTGGGTATAACCTAGGTTGCCCCAAGCATTGGTTAGTTCGGCCCATACACTCTCACCAATCTAGAGGGGTTACTCACCTGACTTCGTAATATTTGTAAATATGTCTCGCATGCAAGTTGACTTGTGTTTCTCAAATTTTTTATTTATTTTATCATTGTGCTCAGGCGACCAATAAAAATATTTTACATACAAAAACATACAATATATAATATGACATTGCATTTAAGCTATATCTGATCAAATTTATTCTTTAATATGATAAGCGATAAAAAATACTATTTTGTCCAATTATGGTTGACTACATACCTTGGCAATTTGCAATAAACTATTAATGGAGAATTAACTATCGTGGGCATGCACCTTACTCTGAGATGAAGCTAAGCAGGTCACATGTTATCTAGATGAAAAAATTCACCTCATTAATGAACTCATCTGTTGATATTTTTTGTTCTTGCGTCAATCAATTATACATTCAACTTCTTTGATTTCTAATATCCATAATATGAAGAATTTAGCCCACACATAATATGGAGATACTAGAGATTGGTGTAGCATATATTTAAGAAAAATATATTAAATTCAAACTGACTTCAACAAGTAAATTATATGGCGATAATTCTCATTTAAATCTAATTAGAAGGTCAACAAATTAACAACAACATCAAAGCTTTTATCCCAGTATGTGGGGTCAGCTACATGAGTCCTTTTTCTCCATTGTGTTATATTAAGTGTCAAATTCTCATTTAAATCTAATAAAGAAATATCATTTCTAATATTTTCTGACCAAGTCTTTTTAGGTATACCTCTACCTTTCTTAATATAAGGCAAATCTAATACTTCTACTTTCCTAACTGGGTCATTGGGAGGTCACCATTTTATGTGACCAAACCATCTTAGGAGACTCTCACTCTCTCTAATATTATCTTCCATAGGAGCTTCTTCAACCTTTTCATGTATATGCTCATTTTATACCTTGTCTCTAAGAGTAAAGCCACTCATGAGCATTCTCATCTCTACAAACACTTAACTTAATGTTATGCTTCTCTTTTAATGACCAACATTTTACACCATAAAGCATTGTAGGTCTCACCACCATCTTATAGAATTTTCCACTAAGTTTGAGGGGAATTTTCTATCACACAATAAGCCCAATGCATTCCTCTATTTTAATCATCCAACTTGAATTCTACTAATAGTATCCACATCTATTTTATTAACAACTCCCTCTCTAGTCTTATCAACAAGAAGAATATCATCAACAAATTACATACACCATAGTACAATCTCTTGCAAATGTCTACCGAGAACATCAATGACCAAAGTAAAAAGAAATGGGTTGACGGCAGAAAAACTTACAGTGGTTTTAGCAACCGAGGCAGTGAACGATGGTGACAAAAGTAGTGTACGAAGGCGATGGAGGCGATGTTCGACGGGAGGCGACTCATGCGATAGGGAGAGAAGCATAAATGAAATGAATAGCAAGACAATTACGAACAATGTTGATAGAGGAAATAGGGCCTTTTTGGATGTTATTATAGGTAGATTTTTTGTTGGAGATGTCTTCGATGGCATTTTTGCTAAAAAATTATATTGGGTTTAAGTAAGCCATTTTGTCTTCCGCCATAAGTTCCTCTGAAATTTTTGGCGCTTTTTTTCTGGCAGGTACCACTAACTTAAGAAAACCAGTGGCATTGCCAGTGATTTTTTGCTAATAAATTTCATTGGGTTTAAGTAGGCCATTTTATTTTAGTTCTATTTGTGTAAAAAATACATGAAATGTGCAAAAAACTCAAGTATGGTACAACACCGTGGCATTGGACACTACACTATTATTGCACCATCATTGACACCTCCAAAATGCCCAATATGGACAAGGAGGCGCCTAGTCTCTATTTAACAATGCCACAACACTGGAGGAGTCAACACTATAAAGCCCAGTATCTATCTTCACAGCATTGGAGGGTGTCAATTTTAGCGCTGCCTAGCCAAGGGGAGTGCCATGTGGATGCCACAACACTCAACCTTCAGCAGCACTGCAGTTATAATCATTTAGGACATAATCTGCCAATGAAGTGACGCGTCTATTCAACAGTGGGTCCACATCAGTAAGCCTCATAGCAGAGGAAATACTATAGAAATGTGTTAGTTCATTTTATGGGCACCGCTATGCAAGTGTCTCGAGCTCCGTAGCGCCAGAATCCTTTTTTTTCTATAAATAATCCATTTGTTATGTTAGTAAGTTAGTTCAGTTACTTAATTAATTTTAGATTTCAATGTGCTTCTCTACAATTAAGGGAATTCATGGAGGACTAGATCCACTTCATAAGAGAATTTAGTCAATGTTCGTTGAATAAATTTTGTTAGTTTAAAAATGAGTATAGAAAATATCATTGAACCAATACCTCTAATGAAAGAAAGAGTATGAGAAAAAAGGAGAAGAATGCCATATCTACTCATTCTACATAGAAAAGGCACTAGAATTTGATAGGGAATTAATACAACTATTCAAGATAGTGAAATGCCTCTAATATAAAAAAAAAGTAGATGAAGAAAAAAAAAATCAAGAGAGATTAGAGTTGAGAAGTTGTGCACTTCTCCTACCCCAAAAGGGGGTATTTATAAGTATAAGTAAGAGGGTAGATGAAAGGATATTCCAAAATTTTTGGTTTTTTTTTTTTTAAATTTTTATTTATTTTTTTAAAATTTTAAAATAAAATAACTTTTTAATTAAATAATTATAATAATAATTTAAAAATTTTCTAAACAAGGAGGTATTATTGTTAGTTCCTACTTCATGATTTTTCTAATAATTAAAAAAAATAGTAAAAGGGGCACTATATGCCCCCATCCACGCCTGGGTGACCCACTAGGCCCACCGGTTCGACCTTCAAGCCTTGTTCGGGCCCGATTTAGGCTTAGACTATTTAATTTGGTCCTTTTTAAGGTTCTCTGAATCATTTTTTGATATTTCAGACTCAGTTTTGACACTTTCAGAACCAAACAAAGACTTTATAATCAATTTACACCAATTCAAATATTTTGGAGCTCAATTTTCCAACACTTTTTGCTTTGATCATTATGTTGACTTCAATAAACATTTAAATTATGATCAGGGAGGTCCTTATTGATATCCGTGAGGTGGTCGCACCACATAAGTGTAATTTTTAGTCACGAGCAACTTAAAAGGTTTGGACACATATTTTTAGACTCTATAAGTTTCAACGTCAGAAAATAAGGTCAACTAACATGTCATAAAAATCATCTTAATCGAGTATGAATCTCAATAAAAATATAAGTTAGAAGCTTCCAAATTTAAATTTTGGACTATCCAAACTTTGATTTCAACAAGTATATAGTCAAATTAAACATCTCAATTATATGAATCCAATGACACCAAATTGAATCCAAGCCGAGTCCAAATGAGCCCAAATCAAAGGACTGAAATATTCTTAGAAGCTTTAAAACTTCAATCGCATGACCAAATGATATTCAAATATAATATGCTTATAGTTGAATTGAGTGGCTTGATGAGGTGAATCCAACAAGCCTACGAGCACTCAATTTTGATATCATTAAGGCTCTTAAATGCCTAATAAATATAACATGATCAAGGAAATTAATATATGATGTCCGATATAACACTCCAAATTTGTCCTATATCTTCTCCATAATTACTGAGCATGTCACTCCTAAAAAATTATAAGTCAACCCCCATTCTTCACATGAAAGTGGGGAGAAAGGGAGAGAAGGAAGAAGAGAAGAACGCAAGGGTTTGAAGAATCCTAGGTCTCTACCACAGCACCACCGCTGATGAATCTGTGCCACCAGGCCACCACTGGTGAGCCTCTTGCTGACCATTATTGTTTGACCTCCATCTAGCAACCAATAACAAGCTGTGAAATCCTTTAAGTAAAAAGAATCTAACCTCTTAAACATTAATGTACATTTTGGTATAATAGTTAGAATTTCATAAAGAAATTCTATAATTAAACATGCTCATCTCAGAGAAATATTAGGATGTGTAACCTCCTAGGAAGTTACACTAGTAGGACAAAACTATGAGGCCCTTAGGCTAAAGTAGATAATATCTCAATAATTAAGAGTTTAGGCAATTACAAATGGTACCATAGCAATATACCAGCTAGAAGATGGAAACTAAGTGTCATAGAAAAATAAAGTGCTACGCCATTGGAGCCATCTCTTGAACCCTATATGGGACAAAGTGCTATGTGGCTTGAGTCGCCATTTTGAACTTGTAAGGGCCACTTCTAGAATCCTATATGCATAGAGGATAATTATGGGATAAACATACTGATGAGGACGTTTGTTACTTAAGTGAGGGGATTGTGAAGCCCCTTAAGTAAAAAAAAAAAAAAAAAGTAAAACTCATGTTAAGGAACCTTTTGCTGTAATATTTGAAAATTCATTAAGAAATTTTGTAGTTAACTCATCCCAGAGAATTATATAGCCGTCCCAAACGCACCCTTATAGGCGGAAATCTATCTATATTCCAATGGCCACTGCCGGGGGCGGCAGCGGCAGTAGCGACGTCTTATACAAAGATCCCCATCAGCCAGTTGAGATAAGGGTTCAAGACCTCCTCTCCCGCATGACGCTTCAGGAGAAGGTAGCTCAGATGGCACAGATCGAGCGGGCCGTCGTCTCCCCTACAGCCCTCACTGAACTTTCCATCGGAAGCGTGCTCAGTTCTGGCGGCAGCGCCCCACAACCTTGCGCATCTGCCCTCCACTGGGCCGACATGGTTGATGCCATGCAGCGCTGCGCTCTCTCATCTCGCCTCGGAATTCCCATCATATACTCCACTGACGCCGTCCACGGTCACAACAATCTCCTCCACGCCACCATCTTTCCCCACAACGTTGGTCTCGGTGCTACCAGAGATGGAGAGCTAGCGCGCCGGATTGGAGTTGCCACCGCACTCGAGGTTCGGGCCACTGGCATTCACTGCACCTTCGCCCCCTGTGTCGCTGTGAGTACTTCATTTTGATATTTTCAGGCTACTTTAATATGTCCGATTTGTGTTGTTGGATCATTGTAGATAAGTTGTTTGATATTTTGTGTCTTATTAATTTTTTATTTTTATTTTTTGTAAAATTTGTGGTGGTGTATGACCACTTGGCTTTTCATAGAAATATAGAATATACCGAACTCAATGTTTACAGCATAGATTTAATTTGACCAACAGAAACAGAGGACAGATTTTTCAGGGCCTAAGTGAACTGATAGAAATAAGCAATCATCTTCATTATGGCATTTTAAGCTAATCTGGATCTATATTAATTTGAATGTCCAAACATTGTATTTATCATAAAAAGGCCTTTTTTTTCTTCAAATATGATGTTGGTGTATATCTCCCACCTTATTTGGTATGAAAATCAAAGTTCTAAAAACTCAATTAGGGTTGCAAATGAACAGATCATTCAACAAGTTACTAGTAACCTGGCTCAATTGCAGCACATTAACGATCGTTTGATTTTTTTTTAATACTAGATTGTTAAACAAACAAGCTTGAACAGTTATTTGTCCAACTCATTTATATTTATGAACAATATCATTTGAAGCTCGTGAACATGCTCGATAATAAGCTTGATAAGAAGTTGATTCATGTCCATTATGGAGATTGTGAACATGCTTGTTTAGAAATTAACTCAATTGATGTTCCATATGTAGCTTGATTAAGTATCCTAATGACTTAGAAAATGATGAACAACTTAATTTGAATGCTTTATTTCTATTATAATTTAATAACATAATTAATCATTAATTAATAAAATTTAAAACTAACGAAACATTAGAAATTTTAGTTTGGAACTAAATATATTTCTTAATATTGGCTTAAATTTTTATTTTATATTTTTTTACATAATTTTTTTATTATAATAAATGATTTTTATTTTATAAAAACAAAAATTTCATTTTTTGTGTTATACTCTTTCATTAGAATGAATTTGTTCATGAACAAGGGATAATTCATATTTGCTAGATTATTTGTTTAGAGCATACTTGTCAATGGTGAATGGCACACCATGACGCAAAGTTCCCCGTGGAGCCATGGCGCACGACACCAAAAGCAATGAGAAGTTTGTATTCATCTTAATATTTGTCAAATTTGTTTTTCATTTTTTGGCCATCTCTACAATGAAATTATCACTTGAAATTGTACCCTCATCCAACACTTTTTTTATGGTACAAATTTGTGAAAGAAATAAATTTGTAGTTAGGTATTTTGTTCCTGAAATGATATTGGTTGCTTCATTAAAGAACCCAAAATATCACCAATGTTTTTTATTTTTCCCTACTTTTCCACCGATGGATAATTAACATATGCCACTTCTTTTTCACTATATGAAAAAAAAAACTTAGCTAATAAAGGAGACACATCTAAGTCTACCTTAGCTAATAAAAGACTTTTTGCCCTATTGATTATACCGTATTAGTTCATTACTCAAAGATTTAGAACTATTGGGGAACATACAGACTCTGGTCATGACTGTAATTTAGTTATGTCATTTTGCGGCAGAACCACCCAATCAAAGGGCCCTGATCATAACATTTTATATGTGGTGTCATTTGACGGTGAAACCACCGGTTAGATAACATGTACCACGTCCTTATTGGTAAGAGATAGTTTGAAAATAAATCCTAGTAATATTCTCGACTGAACATTAGTTGTTTGTGAGTTGAAGCGATTCTTTGACCCCGGATAATTAACTTTGAGATTTTGTGGCATTTCTTTAAAATTTTTATGGACCACTTCGGTTGAGATTTGTATTCAACATGACCATTATCGGGTTTACTTATTGTCACTTTAAATATTTATATTTTATGAGTATGGGAGGCATTTTAAAAGTTTGGGTTCCCCTTTGGTTGAGATTTTTTATCAACATGGCCATCATTAAGAATTTTTAAATAAGTCGTGTATCTATCATTTGAACTATGCCAACTCTAATCGCCTGTTGGCAGAAGATTGAGTTCAATTACTGATGTTGTGAGTTATCATATGGACATTGAGAATCAAAAGTTTTATACTTTTAGTTATGAACCTTTCTTATAAGTTATAATAGACCTTGAAGGCCTAATATGAACATATAAAATCAAATACTATGCTTGGCGCTACGACCATGTATTTATTCAGTAGTTCAATTTGTGTCAACTGCAATCCATTCAAAGAGGAGGATTGGATTTGACCTCATGTTCACTTTTGACCCGCGTAGCATCCTCCGATATTACGTGTATATATACGTCACGCTCGTCGGGGCCAATATGGGTATTTAATTTCATGTATATTTCTATGCTTTTTGCATGATATATTTATGTAATGCAATGAGTATATACGACATATCTTCATGTTCACACAAACACTTATACTTTCATTCGCATGCTAATATACTCGCATATGTACTTGTATATTTGCTTGTATGCATGCATTTTGGCATATTCATTTGCACACTAGCACTATCTAATCGCGCTTGCATGATATGTTGATTTGCTTCGTAGTGGCTTAATACTTTAACATACCGTATGATGTATTTGCATATGTATGCATAATGCATCCATGTATTTCCTATTTTTTTATAATGCATTTTCATGATGATTCAATATTCTCGTCCAGTGTATGTGTGTTTGCATGTTGGCAGTACGCTGTTGCTGCACAGTACATTTTACATGTTGGCTAGTGTGCTCGCATAATGCATTTTGCATGTTGGACAGTGTGTTTGCATGATGCATTTTACATGTTGGATTGTGTGCTTGCATAATGCATTTTGTATGTTGCAACATGTATATGCTTAATATGATTGCATGTTAATGTAACGCGCCGCTACAGCGTGGCATATTTTTGCATGTTGACTGATATGTTTGCATAATGGCGCCCTGCATATTGTAATGTGTGTGTGCACTTTACATGCCTTCCAAAACATTTGTAAAATGCATATGTATATTCTGAATGCATTGGTACACATTTCAATGCATAATGGAGGTGTTCTTGAAATATTCTAATATGATTGATTGTGCAAGTGATTATCATTTGAAAAATGCATAAGTTTCCATTTGAGGGCCTGTAAATTCCTTCTATCCGCTTGTACGAATGTTTTATATATAGTGACATTGTTTAGCTCATTTCATCTTTTGCATGTTATTAGTGTATTTCTGCTCGCAAATGCATTATACGATGCATCAGGAGTCCTCAACCTTTCATTTGTAAATAAGCTAATATATTAAGCATGAAGACCTGGCATTAGCAGTTTCCTGTTTCTATCTATTAGCAATTTGCAATCTTCACTACATATTTCCTGTTTCTGCTTGTAGGTGAGTCATGGCGCTGCGCTATAGGTCTCTCATTGCTTCTTGCAGGCAAGCTGTCATGCGGTACCAAACTCTGTTAACATAGCTTGTGGGCAAGCTGTAGTCATTCAAAAGCTACTGGTTATCATATGTAGGTGAATTGCGCTCAATGTACTGTCCTTCAACATTGCTTGTGGAGGAAGCTATCGTGCACATATCATATTCTCCATCACAAACCTACCACCTTAGCTCGTAGACAAATTGTTGTGCGCATAACGAGCCTCCCACAGTTGTCTACATGTGCTCTTATTCATCACAAATTTGTTGCTTTTGATGGTAGATAGTATGTCGTGTTCATTACAATCCCCTTTTTTATGCTTGTAGGGGATCCGTTACATTGGTTGCACGCTACTTATTATTACTTGTGGGTAGATTGTTGTGCAATGCTGATTTCATTAACACTATTTATGGGTAAGTAGTAGACTTTAAAGTCGTTTGCTATTGTATGCATTGCAAGCCTTCTGCTATTACTTATGGGGCATATGCATTAAATGCAAATCTTTTAGTGTCGTTTATTAGTGTGATTGTTATACGTGTTACAAGCTCATATGCTCTGCCATAGTCCTACTTTAACTCATATGTAAGTTGTGTGCATGACAAGTCTTCTACAGTGGCTCGTAGGAACTCATATTTATTGCAAGTTCTTGGTGCTCGTCTGCAAATAATATGTTGTTTGTGTATCTATGTTCACAAGAGATCCATTATCCTTGTAGCATATCTACTATCGTTGCTTGCATGAAGATTAATGTGTTCATGTTGATTGCCGGATGAGCTGCATTTATCACTAATTTCTCTATGCGTGTCCGTTGGCAACTTACTACATTTGTTACATATTGACTTTCATTGTTCATAGCGGAGTGCCGCATTTATTTTCAAGCTAGCTGACATTGATCGTAGGGAGACTATTACATTCACAACTTATCTACTGTTGTCGCTCACAAGTAGATTAGTGCAATTGTCTACCAGTTAACTGTTGTTGATTGCAAGTGGGTTATTTTTTCATCATAACCCCCCTTCCCTTTGTTTTTAATCATGCTGCATTCCTCATATATGATCATAGGTAAATCGTCGTAGGGATTGCATGTCTCTTATTACCGCTGTTTGAAGGAAATTAATGCATTCATTTCACAAACTAGCTGATATTGACCCATCTTATTCGTAGGATGATCGATAGGAGCATCAATTTCTATTGTTCAAAGGTAAGTTAAGGTATCCATTAAAGGTCTCCTATCATTGTTTGTAGCTAGGTAATTATATCCCCTACAATTCCATTGTTCATCACTTGTCCTTACTTTTACATTTGTATATAATTATTATTATCTTGCAAGTTACCGTTTCATTTCGAGCATTAGGTCCGGTTTTCTGTGAGTTTGATTGCAAGTTTGGTTCTGTAATATCAAAAATCTGCTCCAGGATCGTCCAGGACGATCAGTTGAGAATCTGCTCCAGAATGTGCCCAGATTTGCTCCAGGTGATTTTTTCCAAAGCCAGATCCTGGATAAAAGGTTCCGTGTCGCGGCCCGGTGCGAGCGGGGTCCGTCCCGGATCGGGTCGGGTCGTGACAGGTTCCTTGTGATTTGCTTATGTCTGATTCCCCGTCAGTTTGAATTTCGGTAGCCTCCCGAT